TAAATATTAAAAATTAAAAATGAATGGATTAATAAGTATATATTTTCAAATCAACCAATTTCTTGCTACAATGATTTGATCATCTATTTGTCCAAATTATAAAAAACATTTTAATTTATTGGATCGGTCCATGTAGTGTAAGGATCATAAACGCTGAAGTTGCAGAGCCTCTTAGCGAAATTGAAAAAAAAAATATTGTTGAAATCGGGTTTTCCCCGAAGGGGACATACATCTCTACTTGGGAAAGACCAGGTAACATCATTTATCAAATTTATATAAAAGGTGTATTAAATATTTATTTACGTCATTTATAATTAGTTAAGCTACCTGACAATTTGGTACACAAGAATTTAATTGTATGGGAAACGGCAACCGCGCAAACGTTGATTCAATTTACACAAAAGAGTTCGGCGAATTGGTAATAAAATTGGTTGATTTGAAAATATATACTTATTAATCCATTCATTTTTAATTTTTAATATTTAATTATTACTATTAGGAATGTTCAATGGACTGAAGATGAATCGTTTTTTAGTCGTATGGTGACTGGTGAAGTTCATTTTTACGATAGCAAACGTATTGACAAAGGGATTCATAACAAGTTACGGTTAGAAAACATCATTGATTTTTCTCTGTCCCCTGGAAAAAATCCTTTCATAGCTGTATTTATTCCAGAAAAAAATGTATGTTGATTTTTTTTTTATTACATCATATGTATCAACAAGAGTTATTCTAAATTGTTTCACTATATAAAATATAAATACTGTATCATAGAGTGCTCCTGCATCTGTTCGTATTTATTCGATATCCAATTTTAATTCTCCATTGGCACAAAAAACTTTTTACAAAGCCGATAAAGTTCGAATGCATTGGAACGATCTCGGTACAAACTTGTTAGTTCTAACACAAACTGAAGTGGATAAAACAAATAAATCTTATTACGGAGGTAATTGACAATCTCTTAACACCTAACGAAAGTTTATTGATTAGTGGTGGTAACTCAACATTGCGCGTGCTAAGAACTAGTTTGAACTTGAAACAGAGACCAACTTATATTTTCTATCCGTTGCTGGAAATTATGATTGTTGTGTCCAACTTAGTAAGTATTTAATCTATTTTTCTTTTTCGTACTTGTTATATTTATTATTTTCATACTTATTATACCTTAGAAAAGGATGGTCCAATACATGACGTCGCTTGGAGTCCAAACTCTAAAGAGTTTATAGTGGTTTATGGATGTAAGCTCGTTTTATAATTTCAATTCGCTAATTTGACTTATATTTTTGATGCTTCATTATGTAAATCTTTTTTAATTTTTGATACAGATATGCCTGCCAAGGCAACATTATTCGATCATCGTGCAAATCCCATACATGAATTCGGAATTAGTCCTCGTAACACTATAAGATTCAATCCTCAAGGAAGACATATCCTTTGCTTAATTAAACATGTTAATATCTGATTCATTAGCCTGAGTTTGAAATGTTAAATCCTTAACATTAAAATTCGATAATAATTTACTGATATTAATAGCAGGTTTTGGGAATCTTGCTGGAACAATAGATATTTGGGATCGTGAGAATCTGAAAAAATTAACAACCATAGAAGCTCCTAATTCATCTGAATGTTTTTGGTCACCTGATGGACGTTACATAATGACCGCGACTCTAAGTCCTCGGCTACGAGTTGATAACGGTTATAAGATTTGGCATTATACCGGTGTACTAGTGCATGATGAGAGTATTCAGGAATTATTACAGGTTCGAAGTTAATTTAGATAGTGGACGATCACGTTTATATTCTCATAAACATCCGTCACCTTTGAAGATAGTCGATACTTTATCGCACTTATAGTACTTGGCGGTTTTCAAACGGGTGAACTTATTTAAAATCTTAATAGTTGCCTAAAGTAAATGGGTTACGCGTAGAGGGTTATAAATATAAAGTGATATAAATTCTTTAAACCATAAACTTACGATCATGTTATTACTGTGATAGATTCAATGGAGGCCAGCTAGCGTAGAACAATATCCGATGCGTACCTTATCACCACCACCTAAAGTTTCAGAGGATTTTGGTGCATTGGCTGCAAAACCTTCACGTAATCCATCGGTTTATTTATTACGTAAAAGGACAATTTTCTGGGTTGTAAAATTACTGGTAATTTACCGGTAATTTACCGGTAATTTCCCAGCAAATCTATAATTACCAAAATTTTACAGCCTTGATAGTTTTAAAAACAGAAAATTAACTTTGTCACTTAACATTTTAAGCAGCCAAGAAAGTAGGTGCTTATCGACCTCCACACGCACGTGGTACTGCAACACCAGATATGTTTAAGGTGACTTCTATATTTGGTATTTTTAAACTTGAATTTGGTAATCTCTTATTAATAAGTATATTGGATAATTCTGATAGCGTGAGGATGAAGCAACTAAACGAATAAATATGCAAGATCATGGAAATAAACCTATGATAGTAGGGGCATCTGGAGCATCTGGAGCATCTGGGGCATCTGAAGGTATTTAAGATGATCAATATTACACATGCATTAAACCATGTGGTTAATTATTGTTTTTTTTCTTATAGCAACTACAAAAGCTGCTGTTAAAAACAAAAAGAAGCGCGAAGCGGCAAAGAAAAAAAAGGAAGAAGCAAATCTTGCCTCTGAAAAGAGTAGTACATATTGATTATATTTTTTGATATGCAAATTACTTTTTAATTAGTAAAATTGACACTACCTTCAATTATCTAGATGTGGTATCATCGTTGCATCAATCGCCAGCGCCGACTCAACAGGTCATTGATAATGATATAATAGATACTGATAATGTTACTGATTTAGCTAAAGAACCAATAGCATCAGCTCTATCGACAAATGGAACATCTCAGGGCGGAAGCTCATTGTCAGAGACAGACAAAAAGATTCGAAATTTAACGAAAAAGTTAAGACAAATTGCTGAACTTAAAGAAAGGCAACAGAAGGGTGACAAATTAGAGCTGACACAGGTATGTACATTCGTCTGCAATAAATTACCGAGTTGATCCTTTTTATTATTATTATTATTATTAGTGAAGTATATAAAAAGAGAAAATTAGTTTGCTTTAATGAAAATATATTAATTCTATGGTGCAACTCATCCAAAGACATACAAAATTGTAATTCTCGATGAATATCCAGAATTTTATAAAAGGAATGCATTTCCTTGTATTCCCGGTTAAGACCTATAAAGTAATGCGTTTTCCTTTTAATCATCGAGGAGATAAAATTTAAAAAAAATATATATATATAAACAGAATTTTCGAAGACTAATATTTAGCAAGGTGCTATTTGATCGTCTGGATTCGGTCGTCACATTTAAATCATAACGATAACTCCTTAAATTATTTAAGTAGCTCAGATTTGATGCGACTAGATGATTCGCACCATACTATTAACTTTAATTAATCACGCTTCTTAAAAATAATTTTTATGCCTTTCATTAGTTAATAAATCGGAAATTTATGCCCTAAAAATTTAAGAAGCGTAATTAATTTAAATATTAATGGAATTAAAAACTTCCTTTATATACTTTGCTAATAAAAAAAGGATCAGTCCGGCAATTTGTAGTAGGTATGTGTATAATAAATAGCATTTATTCGTCATTAATTCAATATCTAATTTTATGCATTGTGAAAAACAGATACAAAAAATCGCAACTGAGGCTACGTTACGTAAAGAATTGGAGATGTTAAAACCTTAAATTTTGTTTATGCAATTAATTAATCTTACTATGCTTTTGGTTATTTGAATCTTTTGTCGTGATGATTTTTTAATAATTGCTTTGCCAAAAATAGAATCAAATTGTTAATAGTTTTGTTTGCTACATGCGGTTAAATATATTTATGCATTCGTTTTGTATTTATATATTTTCTAACGTTAGCCAACATTTTAAATGCAATCAATATATTGCCAAAAAGGTTTAATGTTAATTGTGACCGACTAAAATGAAATGAAAATTTGTAGTCTAAATTTTTTTAGGTTAGAGGTCAGATTTAGGGATAGAATTGATAATAAACGAACATAACTGGTTTTAAATAACCTTTGTTTTATTTTAATTCGCGATATTAAAAAAAATGCGCACGTCGACGAACGTTCGGTTATATAAAGTTTTATTTTTAGTTGATCAAATTTATAAAAGTAATTTTTTAAAATTAAATAAGTAGGATTTGTTTTCAGACCTGTATCAAGATGCCAACTGCATTATATGCAATGAAAAGGTTGAGATTACCTGGCAAGTTGCAATGAACAAGAAACCAGTTGGAAAATTGCAGAGAAGCTAGCAGCAAACATAGCATGAGCAATCCTTTCAGAAGAAATCCAAAAGAGAACAGACAAAAATCTATTAAAAAAAACTCTGAGAAGGATCAAGAGAAGAATCTTTGGAAGCAAGATATAAGATGTGGTAAAAAAAATACATGATTCTTTGCAATCAAGAAAAAAAGCTAAAACATATATTGAATTTGTGTTTAATATAATATAAAATTGTTTTTTGAAAATATATAGACAAGATGTAAATCATTGTGAAAAAAGAAAACTAAGAAAAACAAGAAAACAAATCGAAGTTAAACCCAAATCCCAAATATAGTTACGCCCAGGGGCTTTATTTTAGATTTTGGCCAGAATTAAGCTTAATTTAGGCCAAAATTTTAAATTACACCCCTGGGCGTTATTTCAAATTTATATGGTAACAATTTGAAGGAAATAGAAAAAAAAAAATTTAAATTATAGAAAATAGATAGTATTATATAGAAGCTTACATAGCTAATCTGGTATTAGTTTTTTGATTATAAAGCAAAACTTTGATTCAGTATAGCAAATTTATTTTTGAACATTCATGAGATAGCTAGAGATATTAGATCTAAATATTAAGCTTAATATTATATAATTTATTTATAATAATCTTAATAAAAGATTACTATAAAATTGTCAAAAAGTTAAAAAAAAATAAAAAAAATAAGGCACATAGTTTTTTGTACTAGGTTTTGTTAATTATATAGTGTAGACAAAATTTTTTAAAGGTTATTAATATTAAAATTAATATTTAGAAGAAGATTAAAAGTTAGATGTTTATATTTTTTAATTTATATACAGTTTTGTATATAATTAATGTAATTTTATTTTAATAAAGATAATTATTTAACAATTTTTTTTTTTTTTTTTTTTTTTTTTTTTTTTTTTTGCAAATGCCATAGTTGAAACTTTATTTAATAAAATAGAAT